TGGGTTCATATTGGGGTATATTGGGATAATGAAAAAAAGAAAATGGAAACTACTATAATGTGTTATGGGTATGTATATATATATATTGGGCTTATATTGGGTTATATTGGGATAATGGAAAATGAAATGGAAACTACTATATTAGGGTATATATCAGGGTTATAATAGGGTATGTATTAGGGTTATACTGGCCTAGTGGAAAATAGAATGGAAACTACTGTATTATATAAACATCACAATTAGGCCGAAACGCTGAGCTGTTGATACCTTGCTCCATGCTTTCCTCAGGCAAGGCAGTCTCGAGGGAGAACCTGATGCGTGCGGCACCCAGTGTCTTGCTGGTGCTTCACCCTAAGCCCTAAACACTAAATCCTTAACGGAAGTCGGCTGTGAAAAAGGCCCAAACCATGACCAGGTAATCAGCTCCCATTAATAACAACTGCCCAACCCACGCAATATTACATATCCTGAAGATATGTAATGGGACTATACCGGGGATTGTTATTAGGGGGAGGGCTTCATAAATGCAACACCAGACGCTGGTGGTTTGCAATCTGCCTCCCTAGTTCCTACGAAATCCTTGTGACAACATTTGTGTTCAGGGCCCCATCCCCCCTTCAGTGCAAGCATGCTGTTCTTGTTGCCAATCTTGTTTTTGGAGTGGCATATTGCCTCACCCGTAAGTAAAGTCCAAATGAGGCCCTAAAACCTAAACCCTAAGGCCATGCTTGGCTGAAACAGTTCCGAAGCATATTGCCCGGCTCTATGCAGTGAACGTCAGTATGCAATTCCTCTACCATGTGATGGTGTTCCGGGGTATACAAGGCACACCCTTACTTCCAAAAGACCAAACAAAGTCCCTATGAACCGGTTCATAACTCCTACAGGCCTTGATTTTGACCCTAAACCCTATAAACCCTAATCACCTACTGATCAAATCCTATACTACCATGTTCCCGAGGCCAGGGGATGACTGCCGCAGAGTGTGACATGAATTTGGGCCAGCGCTTAAGCACTTTTTCCTGCGTCAAAAAGAGTACTAGGGGTTTAGGGTCTAGGGGTCTAAGTTTCGGGCGCAGAGTAGAAGGAACATCTATACGAACCCTTGACATCTTTATACATACCGTGTGCTGGATCTTATGGTCTTCGCTCGTCGCTACGAAAAAAAAAAAAAACACACACACACACAGCCCCCGATGATACAATTTCGCAACATCCAGCCAATACATGAGCCATCGTCTAAACTCCAAGCATTTCCCTCAAGAACCCCCCTATATGATCCCTTATAGAATCCTCCTTAAGGAGTTCAGACTAGAGCTCATATATGAGGACAATATGTATGAAGGGGAGGTTGGCGGGTTGATTCTTGGAGGAAGGTCATCCAAACCTAAACCCTAAACCCTGAACCCTAAACCCTAAACCCTGAACCCTAAACCCTAAACCCTTATGGCCCCTCCTCCCAGCTTCCATCTCAAGCGTCATTTGATCTTCCATTTTGCTTCACTTTAAGCATTATGAAGGGGGGGGAAGCCAAACCTTAAGTCCTGAACCCTGAGCCCTATGCACTGAAGCCGTATCCCTAGCCCTTAGAGTCCCAAGCCCTAAACCCCTAAACTTTAAACCTTAAGAAGTAAGCCTTTGAGCCTTAAGCCCTAAAGCAACATGGTATACCTAGAACCAGACAACCCCAAGAAACTGGGTTGCTGTTAAGGAGCTTAAATTAAGTTACCATAATGGGTATATATAGTAAATATTAGGGTTTACCCAATATAGTAACTTAATTTAAGTTCCTTAACAGCAACCCAAGAAAAGCCCAGGAATTTCATGTCCGTCGGCGGCTTCTCCGTCTTCGGGGCCTCTCGGCATAGCATGCTCTGACATTTGAATTCTGGGGTCACTACGGTGGATACTAAAAATCCTGGATGACCCTAAATACCTTATCAACAGTATTGAGGACTACGCAGGGTTTTTGTTCCGAGACATTCCCAAATTGCTGTTTGAGATCCTCCTTGCGGAATCTTGCTCTATGAGCCCTCAGCCGAGTTGCTCCCACAACCACCAGACTCTGATATGAGCCATAGTCTAAACTCCTTAAAGGGGGGTTATATAGGGGGTTATATGGGGAACTACTATAGGGGTCATTAGGGGGGATATTAGGAGGTTAGACTATGGCTCACATGTTCAAAAGTTGGTGACTGGCCTCTCCCCAGCAGTCATACTCTGGGGCTTGTCCAGGCTCCCTCCAAAGGTCGTGAGGCTGGCGGGAAGGCCACTGCCACTGTGTCCTACGTCTTGCGCATGGCCCCTTAACACAGGCTAATAAGGTTATAGAGCGGTATCTAGGGAAATACACACATATGTATATATATATATATGTATATGTAGACGTATATAGGGACATACAAGGGTATATAGGGAGTATATCGTGAAATATCCAGGGAGATTGTAAGGCTATTTGAGGTTGAAGGTTTCCGGAGGTTGGGGCCTGTTTGCGAGTCCTTATAGGAGCTTGGGATTTAGAAGCAGAACATGCTGTTGGAAAGGCACCAAAAACCATCTCAACTCTTTTTTTTCTCAAGGTAGGAGCCTTTAGAATGAGAACGCCTAAGGGGTTTGGGGTTCAGGGATCCATTCCATTCCATATGATTGCGTTAGACTAGACTAGCATGCCATCCATGCCGCACTCCATCACATTGGCTGCTCCCTACGTGGCATTGAAAGCTCATTGCTGGTTTCCTTGTGTGCCTTCACATTGAAAACCCATACAGCTCAAGCCTCCCATCCAGAGCCACTAAGCAAGAACCCCAAGGCCGACTGCTCAGGAAACTCAGCAAGCGGTGATGTTAATTGAGGGTGTAATCGGACGACCTCAAATACATACGTTAGGTTAGCTTATTTTGCCAGGCTATCATCCCAACTCTAAATGCTTACTCATTCGCTGGACTTGTCAAGAGTCCTAAACCCAAAGGCCAAGGTCCCAAACCTTTGTCCCTAAACCCTAAACCTTCATACCCTAATCTGCAAACCTTCAAGAGAAGGCCCTAAACCTCTGACCGCCAGGTGGGCATGAGAGATCCTAACAGGCGTCTCTCCTCTCTGGATACTCTAAGACCAGGATTGCTTTGGTTTAGGGTTCAGGGTTCAGGGTTTAGGGTTTAGGGTGTGCATCAGTGGACGCGCGCGGGCGGAGTGCGAGCCTTTTCTTTAGATATAAGGGCTCACACCTTATCGCGCGCTTGAGCATCTTAGCAGTCCCGCCCCAACCACCTAAACTTTTCTCCCCAAAGTTCCTGCAGCAAGGGTGGCTTACTTTTTCTCTTGTGCACATGCTCACCCAACCATGCAGTGCAACATCCATTCCCGGCGGGCTACACGAAAAACAACTCCCAACCCTCCAGATAAGTTGGTTTGCCATGGTGTTGTTGGCAAACCCTGACTACGTGAGCTACGCGACTGCTCCCCTGACGAGCTTCGCCTTGCCCCTGGGATTTCGCCCGGCGTGATGCTGGGCAAAAGAGGGTTTAGGGTTTAGGGAATTAGAGCTACGACTTCATGTAGAGCCTGGCACTACTATACAGATGATGTGTTGAACATGCCCAAGGGTTCACAGATGTTCCTACACACGTCAAACAGCGAATGGAAAATATGAGTGCGCATGGCATGCTCAGAGGGGCTTTCAGCCGTTTCCCAAGTAGGGGTGCCTTTGGGGGTCTTATACTAAGGAATATAGTTCTAGTAGTATTGGGGTCTATATTGAGTTCCCCCTGTGTTGCGAAAGTGCCATATCAAATTTATAGGGTTGGGGGTTTCCTCTTGTGCCTCTTGCAAATTGGCGTGGAACCCCAAAGAGAGCCCTGCAAGGACTTCTGGGCTTTGTCTTCGCGTGTTAGTTTGGGTGAGGGAGAACGAAGAGAGACTTGATGACAAGAATGGGGCTTGCAGCTAATGCACGTTGCTTGTGTTGATGAAGCCCACGCCCTACACTTAATGGGGCTTAGAGGGGCACAGGGGAGTGGATTTTCCTCAGTAGACCGAAGGATGTGATTGGTTCCGATTCCTTCATTCCCAACTAGCCACCAATAAGCAATCTGCAGGAGCTCGAAAGGTGGTAGGTGTCCTACTGGCCATTGTTGCTGGGGGCCTTTGCGGAGTGCAAGGCGTTCCAGCTACCCTTTGGGAGCTTCAGCAGCAAGGAAGTTCAGAGTTCGTGAAAGCTTTCTGTCTGAGGGCTGAGCATGGAACAAGCACTATGATTTTTGGAGTTGATATAGGATACTCCTACTAGGGCTAGTGATGCATTGTGTTGCTTTCGAAAGAAAGTTGTGCTGCAGTCTGAGGAAAAGGAGCATCCTGATGTGCACGCTTTTGCCGTGGCCCTGCGGCTCGGCTGGAAAACAACCATGCGATCGTGTGGGAGTTTCTGAAAATGTCGGGAGTACGCAGACTTATCTGCGGTTTATGCAGGGATTGTACGGGGTTTAGGGATCTTACCCCAACTAGAACGGAGAATCGCATGGATAAAGGATGGGAAATGGCCGGAACGTTGGGTTTATATAGTGGCGTAGAAGGGATTAGGGCTTCCAAAAAATAAGGGCTCTCTGCTAAAGGTCCTTACAACAATGACTATACTATAGGGACCCTTTATATTGGAGGCCCATACTCTGGAGACCTCCATGCACGAACCTCCATAGGGACATCCATATGCCCCGTGTACATAATTCCGATATGTACCTACTGGGCAATGTCCCTGAACCCTAAACCCTAAACCATAACCCTAAACCCTTAACCACAAATCCTGAGCCCTAAACCTCCCCTTCCCTAAACCCTCCTAACCCAAACCGCTCTTGAGCCATGGGGCGCTGGCTGTGCTGCTGAGACACGCGTGGGCGGGCTGCTGCGATCGACTCGGTTTGTGAGGGCCTGATTAGCGGCTCCGGTGACCAGCTCCCGTGCCCCCGTGGCCGGTCGACCTCCTCGTGGGCTACCCAATTCTTCGCACCATGGATGCCGCCAACGTCCCGGTTCCAGGCCAAACTATGGACCTTGAGCTCTCTGATGGTGAAGGAGCGGAGATAGTCCCGCCCAAGCGAAAAGAGCAGCGTGGCATGGACGCAGCTTCGCCTGCCAAGCGTGGGGCCCCTGAGGTCGATGTGGTTTCCTTGGCCATGCTACGTGCTGTGCTCAATGAGCAGACGCAGGAGCTGAAGGGCAACCTTAAGCTCGAGCTCGGAGCGGCGATTGAAAAGTCGGAGACCAAGATGGGGGGGATTGTTGCTCAGGTCAAGCAGGATCTCGAAGCAAAGATGGATGCTGGGGCCAGGGAGGTTGCAGCAGTCAAGCAACTCCAGGACCAGCTGCTGGCTCGGGTCACTGCTCTGGAAGAAGGTGCTGCAGGCTCTTCAGGAGGGCCAGTGGTGCCTGCTCGGAAACCTACAATCCTTTTTGGGGGCTGGAAGGTCGATACCAAGAAGGCCTGGCAGACATAGACAAAGCCCTGGGCCTCGCCAAGGCACGTGAGTTGGTGGACCAGTCTCCATGGGTCCCGGGGGCAAGGCACTCCGTAGGACTCTCGGAGATGAAAGTGCGAGTCGATGAAACTGAGGCAGATGTGGAGAAGCGCATGTACACGGTGATTGCGATGATCAATGACCCGCGCATCTCGATGCAGAAGCTGGCCTCTGGCAATACGCTTTGGGCCTCCGTCAGTAGGCCAAAGACGGACAGGGGCCATGGCTCGCACGCCAGCAAGATCCGTCGTCTACTACATGAGCTCCGGGTTGACTTTGATGAGGTGGATGCTGTGTACGCCACCGGCAGCATCTGGCACAAGGATGTCTTGGTGGGAAGCGTGGATAAGCCGCGCAATGGAGCTCACGTGAAGAAGGGCAAATTGGACCACAGCTGGGTTGACCTAGTGGCCTTGAGCAAGACCACTGGCGTGCCGGAAGATGACCTGGCCAAAATGTGGGACCAGATCATGAGCTGAAGGGGCAGCCCGTCCTCGAGGGTGGCGCTGCATGAGGAGGACGGATTGCCTGCCGAGGGGAGAGGTGCGTTCTCTGAAGCTGAGGGGGTTGAGATTTTAAGGGAGACTAAGGGTGATGAGGGGGTCTTCTTGAAAGAAGGGGACCCGCATCGAGTGGAAGGGACGCCTGAGGCGTGCTCTCCAGAGGGTTGCAGTCCAGTTTTGGGAATGCAGGATGGGGGCAGTGGCGGCCAAGACAATATGTGTGAGAGTCAAGGGGCTCTGGAACAGCGGCTGCAGGTACCTGTTCGGCATTCGGAGAAGTGTACAGATTTTGAAGGTACTCGTAACGACCATCCCTTGCCGGTGAAAGAGGAGCCGGACGAGTTTATGTCGATTTCTTGTGGAGCCGGGGAACGTTTCTCCCCACCTACGTGTGATCCATGCCGGGGCGCCCCTATTACTGGGCCGAAGTACTTTATCCCTGACATAGTGTATGCACCTTCGGATGTTGATCCCGCGGATGTGCTCCATATCCCTGAAGACTCGCCACCAAGTCAGCAGAACTTGGAGGTGGATCGCCTGCAGAGGGTTTTCGCTGAAGTTCGCATTGCATCCTGGAACGTCGCTGGCACCAGCGCGAAAAGGGTGAAGACTCTTATCTCAGCTGACTTGCAAGCGGATGTGATTGCGATTCAGGAGTACCCAAAGATGGATGCGGGGTGGCGCCATTTAAAGGGCGAGAGGTTCAACGGACTGGTTTTTCAGAATTACTTCATGTGTCGCGCAATTGGTGTACTTTATGATGCCAAGAAGTTCCACCTACGAGGCCGCAGATCCAGTCAAAGAGGGATATGGGTACAGCTGCAGCACATTGAGACCTCCCAGTCCATCTGGATAGGTAGCATTCATGTGCCAAACAACGAGGGACGAGAGGAGTGCAGAAGGCTTGTTGATCAGTTCATGAAAGAGTTGCCGAAGAATGCCACGGGAGCTGCTATGGGAGATTTCAACACACATTTCCGATGGGTGGTGGCTGATGGGGCTTGCGTACCTAGTATCATCTCAGGGAAGTGGAGTGACCTCAGGCAATGCATGGCGGAATATGGGTTCCAGCAGGTGCCACCATCACCTGAGCAAGCCGACGCCCCAACATTCCACTCCAGAAAAGGCAATGTTTCCAGCACGCAGATTGACGGGAGGTTCGTGAAAGGGTTGCAGGGGCGGCTTGAAATCTGCGAAGACAGTAGGGTTGAAGTGGGGACGGATCATGACAGAATCGTGCTTTCTGGGGTATTGGCTGGACCAGGACAACGGGTGAAGAGGGTCAAAGCAGGAGGACCTCTCCGGGTTGTTCGCCCCCCCCCCCCTGTCACCGATGTGTCTCCCAAAGCGTTGGAGGAGCTTGCGGGGAGGTGCTGTAGGCCAGCCTCTCTCGGGGATAAATTCAAGGCGAGTGCTGCCACCAATACCCTGAGGGAAATTGCTAAGGCGGGGAGGGACGCGGGCCAGTGGAAGGAATACCTCAGTCGCCTGAGGGAGGAAAAGGAGCAATGGAAAGGGGAGCGCATTGACAGGGCGAGCTCTGACTGGTCACGAAAGGCAAGAAAGCTTGGGGAGACGAGTACATGGTGGCCTGCACTTCTCCCACGCCAGTTGAGGACATTAAAGCCCACTTTGAGAATGTTTTTCATGACAGCCAACAGGAGGACATACGGCAACAACTTGCAAGGGTAAGTGACACGCTGCCACTTGAGGCTGAGGTAAATCCATTTACGGTGTTGGAGGTGAAGGAGACAATCCTCGCTGGCAGAAATGGCAAAGCTACAGGTCCTGATTGTGTCCCCGCAGAACTGCTCAAATGTATGATGGAGAGTGATACCTCGGTATGTGCATTCCGTGACTACTTCAACACTATTTTGAGCACTGGAGATGTCCCGACATCGTGGGACCGATCCGTAGTTGCGCTATTGCCAAAGGTACTTCCCCCTTCCTCGGCAAAACAGTTACGGCCAATAGCCTTGGCCTCTCATGTGTCGAAGGCTTATGCGAGATTGCTTATGATGCGAATGAAAGACGAACTCAGACCGCAAGGGGAGCATCAATTGGCGGGAGAGCATAGGCAAGCTGCAGACTTCGTTTCAGTAGCGGTACGTCTGGCGCACTTATGCCGAGAGTGGCATGTTGACTGCTATGTACTGAAGCTGGATTTGCAACGCGCCTTTGACTCAGTGAATCGTGTACGTCTTGCCAGAAAGATATGTGAGTGGTCAGGGAACGCCAAGCCTCATGAAACGCGAAGTCTTATCAGACTTTTGGCTAGCACCGATCTTGTACTACATCTCCCGTGGGAACAACATGGCATCATCAGCAATATAGGGGTCAAACAAGGTGCAACGGAGAGTCCGGTGCTCTTTGCTAGGCTCCTTGATGACCTCATGGGCAGGGTAGGCCTGGCGGTGGATGACCAAGTCCTGAATGATCTCCCCCATGATAGCACGGTCTACATGGACGATGTTCTCGCGTGGAAACATTCCATCCAAGGGCTTCAGAGATTCGTGGATAAACTTCTACCAATCTTGGCGGAATTTGGCCTGGTGGTGCAACCAACCAAATGCAAGTTGCTTTGCTTAAGGGGGTCTAGGGCCAGACCACTGCTGTTGGATGGCAAAGAACTTCATGCGATGCCTGAGGATGAGGTGCTGAATGTGATGAATCTCCCCCTGGGTTTGGCATGCACCGAACAACGCATCCTTGAGGCCATGATCGACAAGGCTAGAGGGAAGTTCTATGGGGTGTCCCACATTCTCTGTTCCAATGCGCCTTTGACGGCAAGACTCAAAGTACTGAATGCCGTCGTCTTCGGTGCCATCAGATGGTGCCTTGGAGTGCTTGTTCCCACTCCTCAAGCACAACAACTTCTTAACTTTTTCCAGTATTCTTGTGTTAGACGAATGCTTGGAATCAGAAGGACCGCCCATGAAACTTGGCCTGAGTATGAAGCTAGAAGCCTCCGAATTGCAAGAGCGAAGATCTACCAACTGAAGTGGACAAGGTGGGGAGACAAGCATCTTGCAGGATTCTGGCGCTACACAGGGCATGTAGTCAGGGAAGGGCAGAGAGAGGGTGCGACAGTGGCAGGGGTCCTCGCTAACTACCGACCTCTCACGTGGTGGGAGCAGCAACAGCAGGGTGGAGGAGGTGCTAGACACCACAGGCATTTCCCACGTCTCATGAACACGGAGCGCAAGCTATCGAGGGTGACAGGGTCAAGCGCATGGAGAGTTGCTGCTGCTAATCGTGCACAGTGGAAAGGCCTAGAGGTGTCATGGATCACGCAGGAAAGTATACCATGGTCGTCGGGTAGGCAACCAGCCTTGACTGCATGAAGGGGGCAGAATGTGCGAATGAACCGCGGATCAGCTCTGCAGTGAAGGCACGCCCCTCAGATTGTAAACGTCTGATTGCTGCCATGGCAGACCTCACGATCTACAAGTACCTTTACGTGTGTCTCCCTTGGCTTCTCGGAGCTGAGGGTCTTTGTAATGATGTATCACGTGGACCTCCTCAAGGGAGACTTCAGAACGTGTGTCTTTTGACCCTTCCTCGTACGGATGAAGGGCTTCAAGACCTTGGTTTGTGTCGAGTGCAGAATACATGTTTGTGGAGATACTTGATGATGGCGCGATTGAGCAGGTGCCACAGAGGAAGGGTAAATGTCACTGAGCCTTACTTCTCTCAGGTGAGGGTCGTCGGGGACAATCTGCAGCTGAGGGTGACAGGGTCCATTGAGGGTAAGAGGGACGAGGACGAGAGCTACCTCGAGGACATGCTGATGGTGACCTCAGAGGGAGAGGGCCAGAAAGTGGATGACGAGGGCTACCTCGAGGACACGCAGGCGATGATTCGGGGTGACGAGATTGTCTGTACGCAGAAGAGGGCAAGGGCGACTTCACCTCGAAGACGGAGGAGGGCTAGGGCCAGAAGGGAAGAGGAGCGCCAGCGGCAAGAAAACCGGCGCTCGTGGAAAGTTCGGTCCGCGAGCTGCTACCGCAACCTGCTCGAGAAGGCCGTTGCGAGCACCGTGGTGGCGTGGAGCGGGTGCGCGTGGGGGACCCTCCAGGCCTTCTGCTGCACCCTCAGGCCCTTCGTCAGCGGCTCCGACCACAGCATCCACGCCGATGGCCTGCACTGGCGTCCCCGAAATCCCGCCACTCGGAGAGGGCTCTGCCAACATAGTTTGGTGGAGCGAAATGGTGGGGTTGCAAGACCCTGTGCTGGAGAACGACCGTGTGTTGGACAACCAGACGGTAGACTGCATAGTGGAGAACTTAAGAGGGATGTCACCAGGGCGCCGCACGGCAATGATTGCACAGGTCCTCCCGTTCTTAGGTGCATTTTTGGCCGAACTATTGAGGGCCATCAACTTGTCGCAACTTCCGGCTCCTGACACAGCAGAACTTGTTGAGGACGACGAGGAGGTCCTGATCCAGATGGGAGTGCAGAGGGCCAAGAAGGACGATGGGGTGGGCAATGCAGTTGACAATCAGGCAGGTGATGAGACGAGTGTGATGCAGAAATTTGACGCCTCGATCCCATTTGGGTCGAAGTTGAGTCAACTCCAGGGTCACCTCAACGGGTTCGACCATACGCAGTGCACCCAAGTTGCTTGTCACCTGCGCGCCATGGTGCAGCGCCTGAGACAGATGGCAGGGGTAGTCTCAAGTCAGGTTGAAGGTGCTGGGTGTAGGCGACACAGGGCCTCATGAAAGTGGTGCAATGGAGGATCATGCGAGGGAAGGCATGGTCTCTGCAGAGGCGCCAGTGGATCCAGGGTTAAGCGCTGATAGTGGGGGCGCGGCGGGGGCTGAGAATGGCTATAGGGAGGGCCCACTCGAGGACATGATGGATGTGCAGATGGATGAGGCCACCGTTCGCCCTGACAGAGAACCCTATGAAGTTCCACCGGAATGGGCAAGAGTTCTACGGGCGTGGAATGACCCTGCCATTGGAGCTGGCTTGCCGGACTCAGCCGTTAGCACGGGAGAGTTTGAACATGAACTACGTGGTGACGATGATGGTGGTGCTGCTGCGGCCGGAGACCTGGAGCAGCAGGCGGCCAGTTCTTCGACTGAGCGGAGCAGATTGTCAAGGTCTACTGATGCATCTGAGGGATGGCCTAAGCAGACTGACTTGAAAAGTTGGCTCAAGTGATGTGCTAGGGTCTTTTGCATAAGCGGTCCTCAGAACATACCTTCCCCCAGGGTGTGCACTGCTGCACAGACATAGAAGTGCTGCCCGCTGTTTACTGCGAGGGGTAAGGAAGAGGGTTGCTGAGTTTGCATTTGGACGCGAATGTCACTGCACTGCTCTCTGGTGTGATGTCGTGTCGATGTGGCTGGCAATTAGATGAGGTGAGAGGTGCCTGGTCTTTTCCGCTTTGTGCCAGTATCTCTTCACAGGGGCCGTGTTCCAAACATTTCTACGGACGCCATGCCGTGGAGAAAAGGTCCGATAAAAAAAAAACCTCCCATTTTATGCCTTCGGCTCCACAGCCTCACCTCGCTCTGTTGCTTGCTTTTTCGTCTTTGGGGTTTTGGATGCTTTGGTGCTTGCCTGGCACTGGAAACCTGCCGGATGTGGTTTCTTGAGGCTATATTGGGGCTTCAGCAGGATGTACAGATTCATTCCTATAGTCCCAATCATATCCCTGTTTAACCCTTTAGAATCCCTATCATATCCTAATTTGACCCAGCAGAATCCCTATAACATCCCCAAATAGCCAATAGAATCTGATATTGTCCCCATACAACCCAATAGAATCCCTCTTCAACCATAAAAAAATATGCCTTACAACACCGACCAAAACCTTAAAAATAAGCCCTAGATCACCGACCCTCAAGTTGGACTTTGCCTGTTCAGGCCTCAGTGCTTCGGAATATGGGCATGCTCCAGAAGCTAAACTGCAAAGAGATGCCGGGGCTTTTATAAATTGGGGGGTGCCTACATCATGTTCGATGTAGTTGGGGCCCACTGGATGGAAACTACCATTGGCAGATTTTGCAGGGAGGTGTAGCAGTTTCCTGTAAACTGTGATATCTTCTTCAGGATTCGTGAAAGTAATGAGCTCTTGAACTAAACCCTAAACCCTAAACCTTGGGAAACATCTCCAGGGACCCAAGTATGATACATTTTGAGTTCTTCACAACTGCGACACCTGGCTTTCAGTGATCTCTTGACAGACTGGACCATGTTATCGCAGACACCAGGGCTTAGGCTTAAGGTGTATACTGTTTGAGCTTTTAGGGCACCGCTACAAGTTGACAAGTCGTGTAGAGGTTTGCGCGTGGAACTTAGGTGTGCTGCTGGGGCTGTACTCCAGCGTTGCCATAGTGCGGGGAGTGACCTTGCCGCAGAATTGCCGGGCTTTGCTCTACTATAGGATCCAGACGATGTGGAAGCCTGAATACTTACTGATACCCTTGCCCCAGATTCCTTGAATAATTCTGCTGTAGGACCATGTATACCCTATGCAGACCTTCAATGATATTTATTCAGGCCCCTGCAGTACATGGTCTCTTTGTATAACCGCCATATAAATCCGGTGTCCATCTTCTTTTCCACTTGATTCTCCATTCGGGTGCCTTTTGTTCGAAAATATCTTGCATGCAAAGCTCATCAAAAACGTTGGCATTCTGGATACGGAAGTCTTGGGAGGTATCATCTGCTACCACAACGCAGAAGCCACAACAAGCACAAGCTAGACCCATAGTCTCGTGCGCTGTAGCACACAACGCTTGACATGTATTTCAAATGCAGTTCCTTCTACTGCAGGCTGAGCAGGGCCAAAACCAGGCTATAACCAGGCTATCTCCAATAAACCCCAAACCGCGTTATTTACCATGAATACTACACGGGATAGCTGTAACCCTAATCTGAGTGGACAGGACTAGAGTTTCGTAATATACCTGGACTTCAGGTCGCCATGCTCTAATTTGGGTTGCTGTTAAGGAACTTAAAATAAGTTCAGTTACCATAATCAGGAAACCGTATAACTTACTATATATGGGTAGGCTGTGAATCAAAACACGGGGTTTGTAACAGGCTTCAGCGGCCATCCCGCGACATAGGTTTGTAACAGAATGTCCTGGCTTGCAACAAGCACCTTTGCGACAAGGTTCTTTTGTAGGACATACCTGCGCCAAGCATTCGCGACAAAGGTATGTAACAACAGGCCCCACAAAGGGGTATGTAACAGGGGGTGGGGGGGGGGGGACCCGCCATATTCTCATAACTTCAGCAACCCCTAAACCCTAAACCCTGGCAGGTGAAGCTGCAGAAGTCCGTGATCGGCCCCGCTTATGCCAGCGGCTGCATATGGGGCATTGGCTTCGCTTGCATGATGAAGGGTACGGCACTTACTTGACTGGTGGTTAACAGGGAATATGGCAATAAAATCCCGATATTATCCCCGTAGTTAGGGTTGAGGTTAGTAAGGAATATGGGAATATAATCCTTATCCTGGTCCTGCTATTGACACGTGTCCCCAGTCCAAGCGTTAAATTGATGACCCAGCATACTGTCTGTCATATGGGGAGTGCGGAGTTTTGGAGATAAGCGGAAGGGGCTAATTACATTAGGTCCTAAATCTGCAGCCATAAACCACCTGAATCCACATGTTCAAGGCATCAAATACCTTGGCTACTCAGTGGGCTACACCCTGGATGCTGTTGGCCCCATTTTGGTGTCAAGCCTTCTGTCGGTGTTTGTGCCAGGACCTCAGTCAAGCTTCTGATTTGCTGTTGGGGGTTCAGGGTTTATGGGAATGTGCATCGCAGAGGGTTGATAGACCTTGCCCAAAAACAGAGAATCGAACACACAAATATGGGCAATGACATGTGATGACTGGTGATAATGGGAGAATTATGTAGGGGGTCAAGGAACTTAAGCTAAGATACCAGAATATGTACGCATGGTGCATAGTATGCTTTCCCTGTGATGGAAACCCTAAGCCCGGGTCTAGGGTGTTGTGACCATTTACGGCTTGGGGCCTTAGAACCTTAGGGTTGAGGATTTGCGGTTTCAGGCTAACTTGAGGTCTTTGTCTTTGTTCTTTGCAATTTGGGGGTTTGGGCGTTTGTGCCCCAGAGCCTCAATTTCGGAATTTGGCCGCACTGACTTGCAGACCTTAAGCCCTGAACCTCTAGCCTCACGCCCTAAACCCTCAGCCCTTGGCCCTTACCCGTACACCATAGCCCCCATGCTCTTAACTCTGAATCTCACGCCCTGAGCCTTGCACAAGACCTCCAGTTCTGGGAGATACGCGGCCAAAGGCACAAAACTTAAACTTCACGGTACGCCAAATATGCCCTAATTAGGGCTTATGTAGCTCTTATCTGGGAAGGGAGAGCAAGGGGGTGAACCCTAAGCTCTACACCCTAAACCCTAAACCCTAGCATAGGATCCCATACCCTAAGCCTGAGGTTCCGAGAGATAAAAGGCCAACAGCCATTGATGATCTACTTTGGAGCCTTCTGTTTGCAGCTGGCGCGGGGCTCGGCGGTGCATGTGGATGAGTGCAGCGCGCTTTCCAAGATTCTACTCCCACATTCCCGACATGTGATGCGTGATGCAGTGGCCTTGGCGATAGGCTCAGTATATGATACTAGGTTTCATATACAAGTATATGGGATCAACTTCCAGTTATGCAATCTTTCACATGGATTCCCATTTAGAATTATTAGCAGCCATCTGAACTGTTGCTCTTCGAAGACGCCAGGTCGGAGTGGTTCTGATCGCAATCTTCGGGCAACCTGCCTGACTGCGTGCTTCTCCAGCAGCTCCATACATGATACTCAAGCGGGCTCATGTAGCCCTCGCATACTGGGCGGCTGTTAAGGAATTTTAATTACGTTATCATAGTGGGTATATATTTATAGATACACATTAATATGATTTCCCTAATATATATAGTAGCTTGAAGAGTTCGGTAGCTGCAACCCAGATTCGAAAGGACCCCATAGTCTGAGAAGCCCGCAGTTGACATGCAACTGGACTGCTGCATTCCGGACACATGGCTTGAAGCAACTTACTTTCTGGATCTAGATACCCCAGTAGTGCCCTTTTTCCTTATGTTGGGGTCTCCTTATTAAATCTGAACACATAGGAAAAAGGGTACCCTTAAAATTAAGGGGTTGCTGGGGAACCTACGGATTATCCTTTATGTCCACCTGTGGGCCTGTGGGGTTCCCAAGTTTGGGGTCCCCCATGGAATGGGGATTAGAGTATTTTGGAGAAGTAAAATGGTACCCCTGCCTGCGTCTTCATTCATTCTCATATTCGGCATGCTAGCAGCAGCATTGGGCCTGCCACGGCGGATGCCAACCCTGAGTTTTTGTGTACTTCTGGAAGCTCAGCGTACAAGCTGTTTGCGTGTGGTACCTTCCGAAAATGAGGGGCGGTTTACGCTGTGTTTCTGAACACAGGTCACCCCATTGTGTAGCATACCTACTGGCACCTCGTTTTTGGAAACTGCCGCCCGAATTTCTTGCGCCCCTTCGGACCTTATAGACTGCCAAAGACCCTTTAAGTGGCCTGAAAAGGTGGCTGCAGCTCGCAACGGCAAAAGGAACAAGAGAGAAGGATCAGCAGTAGGGTTTACTCTTGTTTCTCGTGGATTTATATCCTAAACTTTAGACCCGAAATCCTAAACCCTGAACTGAGGAATTGGTGAGTGTATAGATTCGGGGTCCAACTTGGGGGCCGCAAAGTAAATCCTACCATGTTTGCAGTCAGAGTAGATCATGTGCCGGGTAATTGGTAATTGTTGAACATATTTCTCATATTTGGTTGTATGGAAAACACATGAAGAATTTAAAGGTGTATTTTTTTAGTGGTATCCCAGTGTGGAACGGTCTCGCTGGCTTCTAGATGTGTATGCAGTGTATTTGTTTGGCCGTTCTTATGTCTGTTTTCCTGGCAGTGTACGGAACAAGACCACTTGAAGCTTCCTAAAGCTCTGATGTGCAGATGTAATAGCAAGCCCCAATGGACCCCAATATACATATGTATATATATATATATGTATGTGTATATGTCATGTTTGCAAGAGCATTGCAACGAGTGGCATGGGCGTGCAGCATGAGTAATCCACTTCCCTAATATTACACACCCCCCCACCCCACAATATTAAATACTACTGTTATGTGGTATAT